GAGGGCAGTAAGAAAGTTGTTTTTGAGGACTGGAGAAAAAAAAAGGATTCATAATAAATTGCTATCAGAACAATTAACTTGACCATTTGCTGCAATACTGGAAGACAGAAAATATACCTAACAACTTGTGGATCTGGCTAAGGGGACTTCCGATCAAACAGCGGACAGTGTTGTCATCTTTTAGCCACATATAATATTATATTGTAAGAGAGAGATGAGGTAAAGAAAGAACAATTCAGGTTTTAAGCAGAATTTAGAGGATATTATTTCCAACTCAGGATTTGGGGAGTTGGAAAATAAGTTTCACATTTCTAGTATCTCCAGCTGGCAAGAGGTTTTCCATGTAAGATACTGTCTCTAGATGAAATTCAAAATGCTGTTTGCTAATCAAGATCAAATCAAACATATAGCTCTAAAACACACTGTTGAGACCTCAGAAAGATTTCAGAGGCTCTTTTAGCTATATAAAATATCTAACAATCTTAAAGGTGTCCCATGGCATCTTAACTCTCAGCTCATGCATCTTTACTCTCAAACAGTCTGTCTTGAAAATATCTGTTGGTATGTATTTTACCTAAAAAGATGGGATTGTCCTTTGATACATAGGAATCCTACAAAATTGTTTTAAACGTTGTAGCAGCCTGAAATAAATGGGGAATAAATAGTTCACCCAATAGCTTAGAACACTTTGCTCTATTTTAAACTGCTTGCCAGCCTATTACTAGTCTATGAAGTTTGGTATCATTTCAAGTAATAATAACAACAATAAGGAGAAACATATAGCTAACCTTTATTGACCACTTAAAAATATACAGCTACCCTACAACCCAGCAATTGCACTACTAGGTATTTATCGAAAGGATACAAAAATGCTGATTCAAAGAGGCTGACACACCCCAATGTTTATAGCAGCACTATAAATATTAGCCAAATTATGGAAAGAGCCCAAATGTCCTTCTGCTGAAAGGATAAAGAAGATGTGTGTACACACACACACACACACACACACACACACACACACGATGGAATATTGCTCGGTGATCAAAAAGAACAAAATCTTGCCATTTGCCACAACATGGATGGAAATACAATGCATTATGCTAAGCAAAGTAAGTCAGTCAGAAAAGGACAAATACTATATGATTTATCTCATTTGTAAAATGTAAGAAATGAAACAGATTAACATAGGGGAAGGGAAAGAAAAACAAGATAAAAACAGAGAAGAAGAAAAACCATAAGAGACTCTTAAATACAGAGAATAAACTGAGGGCTGCTGGAGGAGTGTTGGGAGGGGATGGGCTAAATGGGTGATGGGTATTAAGGAAGACACTTGTTGGGATGAGCATTGGGTTTATATGTAAGTGATGAATCCCTAAATTCTATTCCTGAAATCATGATTACACTATATGTTAACTAACTTGGATTTAAAAATAAAATTAAAAAAAATAATAACAATAAGGAGAAACATATTATAACTAACCTTTATTGACCACTTTTTAAATGCCAAGTGTTGTGCTAAGGACATTCTGTAGAATATTCCTCTTACACCTCCAAACCAATGCCTGAGTTTTGAAACTATTCAAAAATGTTGATCCACATCTAGATATTCATTCCAAGAGCTCTATCAGAGATGGAGATGACATATTCATAAGATTATGATCAACTGATACATGAATTCAGCAAAGTCACAAGATACAAAATCAATGTCCAGAAATTGGTTGCATTTTTATACACCAATAATGAAGCAACATAAAGAGAAATCAAGAAATTGATCCCATTTATAATTATACCAAGAGCCATAAAATACCTAGGAGTAAACCTAACCAAAGATGTAAAAGTTCTGCATGCTGAAAACTATTGAAAACATATGAAGGAAATCGAACACACAAAGAAATGGAAAAACATTCCATGCTCATGGGTTGGAAGAATAAGTACTGTTAAAATGTCAATATTACCCAAAGCGATCTACACATTCAATGCAATCCCAATCAAAATTGCACCAGCATTCTTCTCAAAGCTAGAACAAACAATCCTAAAATTTGTATGGAACCACAAAAGACCCTGAATAGCCAAAGTATTGTCGAAAAAGAAAACCAAAGTGGGAGGCATCACAATGCCAGACTTTAGCCTCTACTACAAAGCTATAATCATCAAGACAGCATGGTATTGGCACAAAAACAGACACACAGAACAAGGGAATAGAATAGAGAACCCAGAACTGGACCGACAAATGTATGGCCAACTAATCTTTGACAAAGCCAGAAAGAGTATCCAATGGAATACAAAAAGATAGTCTCTTTAGCAAATGGTGCTGGGAGAACCAGACAGCAACATGCAGAAGAATGAAACTAGACCACTTTCTTGCACCATACAGAACAACAAATTCAAAATGGATGAAAGACCTAAACATGAGACAGGAAACCATTAAAACCTGAGAGGAAAAAATAGGACACAACCTCTTTGACCTCAGCCACAGCAGTTTCTTGCTTGACATGTTTCCCAAGGGAAGGGAATTAAAAGCAGAAAATGAACTATTGGGACCTCATCAAGATAAAAAGCTTTTGGACTGCAAAGGAAACAACCAACAAAACTAAAAAGCAACTGACAGAATGGGAGAAGATATTTGCAAATGACATATTGGATAAAGGGTTAGTATCCAAAATCTCTAAAGCACTTGCCAAACTCAACACCCAAAAAACAATAATCCAGTTAAGAAATGGGCAGAAGACATGAATCGACACTTTTCAAAAGAAGACATCCAGATGGCCAATAGACACATGAAAAGATGCTCAACATCACTCATCATCAGGGAAATACAAATCACAGCCACACTGAGGTACCACCTCATACCATTCAGAGTGGCTGAAATTAACAACTCAGGCAACAACAGATGTTGGCGAGGATGTGGAGAAACAGGAACCCTCTTGCACTGTTGGTGGGAATGCAAACTGGTGCAGCTGTTCTGAAAAACAGTGTGGAGGTTCCTCAAAAAATTAAAAATAGAACTACCCTATGACCCAGCAATAGCACTACTAGGAATTTTTCCAAAGGATACAGTAGTGCTGATTCATATGGGCACATATACCCCAATGTCTATAGCACCACTCTCAACAATAGCCAAATTATGGAAAGAGCCTAAAAGTCCATCAATTGATGAATGGATAAAGAACATGTGGATTATATATACAATGGAATACTACTTGGCAATGAGAAAGAATGAAATCCTGCCATTTGCAGCAACGTGGAAGGAACTGGAGGGTATTATGCTAAGTGAAATAAGTCAGTCAGAGAAAGACAGACATCATGTGTTTTCACTCATATGTGGAACTTGAGAAACTTAACAGAAGATCATAGGAGAAAGGAAGGGGAAAAACAGTTGCAAACAGAGAGGGAGGGAGGCAAACCGTAAGATACTCTTAAATACAGTGAACAAACTGAGGGTGGATGGGGGATGGGGGGAGAGGGGAAAATGGGTGATGGGCATTGAGGAGGGCACTTGTGGGATGAGCACTGGGTGTTATATGTAAGCAATGAATCACTGAATCTACCTCCCAATCTAAGAGCACACTATATACACTGTATGTTAGCCGACTTGACAATAAATTATATTTTAAAAAGATTATAATCAGAGGAACATTATTTACACAAATAAAGAGAACAGTTAAATTAAGAATCATTAATATGATGGCTTATAACTCATTAATTAAAGCATGAATTAATATAATTATTACTTTTATTTTAAAAGTAGGAACTCTAAAAATTGGCAAGTTTATGCCCGTTTAAAGAATTAAAAAAATGGTAGATGCAAGATTTCAATCCTAGTATTATGACTTCAGAAGACCAATTCCCAATCGCTATACTTTTTTCCCTATATTAGATCATATCACAGTTTATATAAGAAAATGAATCATGCTATCGTATCTTGTGTATTGAAAAACTTTAGCCTGCAAAAAAACATATCCTACATTATACATGATTTACGTGGCTATACACCGTTAGAGGGGACATGTGCTCATTTCTGGGCACGCACCCAGAGGAGCAAGCTATGGGTTTCTCACTCATCCTTAGCCAGACAGTGGATCCCTTGGTCCAGCTGTCACCACATTGTCTGTTTCAGTATCAGTGAGCTTTATCTAGGTTCCAGATGACTGAGACAACAGGTCATAAGAGGGCATCTTTTATGTGAAGGAGGCCTTTGTGAAACCCGAGAAGGCTTGCTGGTTTGTGTTGAACAAGGCAGAGCTCTAGCTGCACTATCTTATATATATTCCTTTACCACAAAATTGCTTTATAATTTTAAATAAATGCTTATAGACTTTTCCTTTGTCAAAAATAGAAGAGAAAAAATGATGAAACTAAAAAAAATCTACATTAATGAAGAGCTATAGCTGAGATCTGAGGCACACACAAAGGTAAAAAATTCTAAGTTATGGTTCCCATAGCAACAGCAACACAGTTGGATTTCACTTTTATGTTAAGTAAGTTTAACTTTAGTGGAGATGCAAAACACTCCCTCTGAACCAAAAAGAGAATTATGGAGAATATAGAGACTATGATCCAGACTCTTCTGGCTTTCAAAGGTATCAAATATTAACCCTAATATATATTAATAGTTTCACATCAAAACTATATGTTCATTTGCATTGACTTAAAACTACTTTTATTCAATTTATAAAATATGATTATTTAAAATGGGAAAAACTCCCATCCAAATGTGTTAAATCAAAGGACGCCATCTTATAATTTGGAAATATAAGTGCATAGTTTGTTTTTAATTACAATAGAATACTTGCTGAAAGTTTAATTTATGAAAATACAATCTGATTACATTCACTGTCAAGTGTTTTAAACTTGACGTTTCCAATTACTGTAGATATTATCTGAAACTAGGAAAACAAACTAACAGTACTTCAAAGAGAGGGCATACATATAAATTTTCAAGACATTTGTAGTTTGCATCTGTATTTCAATGTTTTTAAAGAAGCAGGAAGGGTACTTACTCCTGTTATGTAACGAGGTCTATATTGAATAGTCCCAAATAAACCAAGAATGACGATAATAATATGTACAAAATTTGCCAGGATAGGTGCCCACTGATATCCAAGGAAGTCAAATATTTGCCTCTCCAGCACACAAACCTAGAATAGTAAAACAGGGTACAGAGGTAAGCACAGTGGTGAGAGAGAAGAGACGGCAAAAGGATCATATTGCATTATAATTAGCAATTATAACTGTGTTACCATATCTGGCATTTATCTTTAACAGTAAGACTGACATTTTCAGGTATATTTCAAAGAAACACTATGGAGGCTGTAGATCCATAGGCAGCTACAATCCTTTTCAGAATGATTTTGTGGAGGCATCAAGCCATAGTCACAGGATATCATCTGTGCAGTCACAGGATAAATTATATTGTCATATGCACTAACACTTGAATTCATCAACCAGCAAGTTTGCAAAGTCCACACAAAGGGTATGTTGTTAGGATCTGCTCAAATGTCATTATATAAATTGAAAAATAAAACAAATGGGAGTTATGTGGAGGAAAAATAACTCATCAGCAAGTCAACCAACTTGGATTATGGACTTAGATTTGCCTCTAACTGTGGTTGCGAGACTAGCTAAGTCTAGAAAGGACTAGGTAAGTCTTTCACTTCTCTGGGGGTACTGATCCTTCATTTGTAAAATTCAGGACTTTGACTTCTAACCCAAATAATACTGGATTATAAATCAAAAATGACTTTTTTTGCTATACTCAGTTACGTATATAACCAGACAAAAGGGTGCAAAAAGGACATTAAAACAATGAGAAGCAAAGATAAAAAAAAAGTGTCACTATTATAAAAGCAAGGAACGTAGGTCATTTAAAATTATCCTACATTTATCTATGTTTACAACTTGACAATTAAGACACAGGTACAAATCTAAGGATTGAGAGAAGAAAAACAAAACCAACCAACCTAATCAACCAAACGAACAACTAAACAATGACACAAAAGCTGTGATAGTCCAGAAGTACCATTTTATATTGACAAGTAAAACCTGATAGCTATCAAGTTTCTCATCAGATCAAATAAACTCACTTTTATTCTTCCTGCCTGCCCTCAGGTGGAATGATAATAAACGGTTGCGAGTAAAACATTGTGAAAAGACCTGATATTCCACACAAAGATTCAACAGTGTCTTTGGTTGTTTTTCAATCTAGGCTTTAAAGAAAAAGGATATTTTAAAACCCCTACATTACTAACATTACTATGCTTTGATGATATTTCTTGTCAGAAGGACATACTGACTCTCAAAACAGCCAGTGTGCTTTTAAATTAAATACCTGTAGCTCAGTTTGAAGATTTCTTGAATGATCAATATTCCCACTGTACTTCTTTAGCTGAACAACACATATTCCCATCAGGCATTGAAAAAGAAAATAAATTCATGACAACTGTTTGCATAACACTTCTGTTTCCTAAGGCAACCAAGGGCTGTAACAGTAATCCAGCCTTGTCAAATCTTCATTTTCACTTATCTTGGCAATGATTAAAAAAAGAGAGAATCTAGGTCTGTTCTACCTTGCATATTCTAAATCCACAATATCCACCAGAGTTGCAAAAGTGGAACGTAAATAATATTGCACATAACTGCAGGTTCATAAACCTTGAACTGCCTTCTAATGAAACATTCCTTCAACTGTTATCATGCAGTCAACACTTCACATAAAGGAGACCCATTTGTAATGTTAGGCAGTATAATGTATCCCTTGTTTTTGAATCTATTAATGGTACCAAAAAAATAAGTGGCGGTTCTCGGAGCAACTGCTAATCATTTGTATAAAAGCTCTCTCCAACTTAGAACTCTCTAAACTCATCCTATGAATAAACGGTAAGTAGGAATGTAAACAGCAGCAAGAGGAATCTAAACTCTATAAATTTTGAGCATCATAACTGTGGGGACACAGCAGGGAAAAAGTATAGAGGATGAAACGCATTAGTCAAACAGTGGGAAATCTCTCGATAAATGCACCAATTATGGAAGAAAATAACAGTACCATCGTTAATTATAAAAAATATATAGATGATAATATAGTTGCTAATTCTGCATGGCTAAAATTAATTTATGTCAACATTTATTAGTCTTTTTTTTAATGACAGAACTAATAGTTTCATCAAATATTACTTGCAAGGTTATGCAGACTGAATAAGTTAATGCGCAATTCCTCAATTATAATATTCCTGCTTTTACCCTGTTTCTGATTGACCCTATTAGCCACCATAAGTAGCTTTATCATAGGTCCTGTTATTTAGAGCTGGGACTAAAGAAGGGAAGATTTTTTGAAAAATTCAGAGAATATAAAGGGAATAACAATTTATAGAAGTAGTTAGTCTTTTCTAAGAATTCCTTCAAAAAGGAATTATATTAACTGTGGAATAACTGAAAGGGTTATGGGGTTGTAGGGAAGAGAATAGATACTAGTTAAAATATTTCTTAGGTGATGGGCATCCTTGCTAATCCCCAGTCATGTATTACCTCAATGTGTCTGAGAGGTAAATATTGTCTTACTTTTCAGATTAAGGACTCTCAGATGTGTGGTGGCTAAGTGATTCTCCTGATATCTTAGAATGGTAAATACTAAACAAATAAACAAACAAAAAAAGTAGGCTCTGTGCATGGCCAGTGGGCCATGTTCCCAATGTTGTAGATTTGTGACACACCTAGTCCAGAAACAAAAGCTTTCACAGTTTATGTTGTAGACCTATGTTGGTCACAGGATATGTGCTGCTTTTTACCTTACTTATTTTGGAATAATACAGAGAATTTCTTTGATCATAGTTGTCAGTTCATATCATCATTAGTCAAGGCAAATTTGTTTTTTTGTTTTTTTGTTTGTTTGTTTGTTTGTTTTTTGCCTCCTTCAACCCATGTTCTCAGAGTTATTTTGCTTCCTCCCATTGGACCCTCTGTAATATATTTGCTTTATGTGCTTTCTATTACCTGGCATACAAATACAGGTATACGGCCTTGAAAAACATAAACAAATCTTCCTCAACTTATAATGGCATTACTTCCTGATAAACCCATCACAGGTCAAAAATATCATATGTCAAAATGCATTTAATACACTTCACCTACCAAACATCCTGTCTTAGTTTATCTTTTTTAAAAATGTTTAAATGTTTTTGTTTCTTTTTGAGACAGAGAGAGACAGAGCATGAGCAGGGGAGGGGCGGAGAGAGAGGGAGACACAGAATCTGAAGCAGGCTCCAGGCTCTGAGCTGTCAGCACAGAGCCTGACACGGGGCTCGAACTTATGGACTGTGAGATCATGACCTGAGCCAAAGTCAGACGCTTAACCAACTGAGCCACCCAGGCACCCGTTATCTTATCCTATCTTGAATGTGCTCAGAACAGTTACATTAGCAACATAGGACAACATCATCCAACGCAAGGCCTATTTTATAATAAGGTGTTGAATATGTCATATGATTTATCGATATTGTCCTGAAAGTGAAAAACAGAATGGTTGTATGGGTACAGAATGTTTATAAGTGTACTGGTTGTTTACTCTTGTGATCTGTAGCTACCTGGGAGCTGTGGCTCCTTGCCTTTGTCTAGCATCACTAGAGACAATCGTACTCCATATCACTAGTCCGGGAAATGATCCAAATTCACAATTTGAAGTACAGTTTCTACTGCAGATGTATTGCTTTCACACCATTGTAAAGTCAAAGAATCGTAAACCAAACAATCCTAAATTTGGAACTGTCTCTACCACTGTTGTTTCTGTGTGCCGTTTTCATATAAAAAGTGTTATGGAATAAGTCCCTCTCATGCTTGTTAGTTTTGCTGTATGTAAATTTTGTTCTTTGTGTTTTGTTTCTACATAGTAGCCTGTTATTAATGCATAACTTGTTGCTTTCCATAAAGAATTCTGTGCCTTTACATTACTATTATTATGATGTTTCTATTTGTTAACATAAACACAAGCTAATCTTTATCAATTATTATTTCTGCATCTATTGAGATAATCACTTTATTCTTTTCTTTGATATCATGAATGCAATTGTGTATATTGATGGTTTTTGCCACGTTAAATTTTCCTTTTCTTCCTGGGAAAATCCCTACTTGAAATTTAATATTTTTTTTTTACCAGAGTTTCAGTTTGGATTAAAGAAAATTTTATTTGTAAGTTTTATATAGATAAGCTGACCCATAACTTATTTTTTCTCTCTTTCTCTAACTCTGTTATAGAGGTTGTAACAGCCCTAAAATATAAGGTACAACACTCATTTAAACACTTAACAAATTTTGAAGAAACCATCAGTCCTATTCTCTTTCCCCAGAAGCAACCGCGTCAATTTGAGGAAACTCTATTAAGTACACAGCTTTTCAGGAAAATATTGTATGTAGATGCCAGCACATAGGCATTTGTCTATCATATATATGTCTTGAATTTTTCCCACATAATTTTATTTACACAAATGGGATTGCATTGGTATGGTTTTTCCCCTTGCACTTTGTGATGTTTGTGGATGTCTCTCCATATTAGTGCACCCTACACATACATTATATCCTTATTATTAAGTGCTCCATTTAAAAAACTATTTATTTTGGGGACAGTGCAAGCAGAGAAGGGGTAGACAGAGGAGGACAGAGGATCTGAGGAGGGCTCTGCACTGGCAGGGTGACAGCAGCAAGCCTGTGTGGGCCTCGAACCACCCAAATTGTGAGATCATGACCTGAGCCAAAGTTGGACACTCAACCGACAGAGCCACCCAGGTGTCCCTTAAGTGTTCCATTTTAACAGATAATCATTTGGTTTCCAAGTCTTGGCTATAACACACCTGAGTGCATTAAACAACCTTGTATATGTGTGTTGGTACATCTATAGGCTAGATCCTTAGATGTGAAAATGCTGGGTCAAATTCTGATTGCAAAATCCCAAATATTATAAAAATGTTATTCATTCTCTTTGATATAAACGTATATACTGTTAAAATATGAAAACTTCTCTATCTTTTGCATTATAATAAACATGAATCTTAGTAGTCACTGTTTATCTAGTTGAGCACGCTTAAACTGAAAAAGTTTTCAAAAACTTTCTTATAAGTATATTAACTAGAATTCATCTTACTAACAATGACAA